TCTGATGTATCTGTTTTTTCATTTCTTGTGACTTTAATGATAAACCCTCGTGTATTTTGTGTAATTGAACATTCTTTTGTGTATGTAGTTTTAAATTCAACGATAGATATTTAACATTCTGTAATTTTTCAGATAGGAAAAACTGAATCTTTCCGATATCAATATACGCTAATTGCACATAGAACCAATAAAATCCAGTAAAAGGTGACTTGCGAAACAATTCCTGAAAATGTCATTATTTTTACTCATTTGGCACATTGTTCGGGTAAAGTATGTATAGAGGCTTCCCATGAATATTTGACGATTTTTGATAGAGTTTATTAATTGAACGTATATTGGGCATTAATATTTCATAGGATTTTATAATGTGTCCCACTTGCAGAGTCATAATGGACCAGAGTGTAATGGACTCACAATGAATGACTTCCCGTGAATTAAATTCTCAAAGTTTGTCTCAAAAAAGTGAAAAATACTGGAATTTTCAGGGAAAAATTAACAAGATGGGGTAATACTTCCTAAAAGTGCTGAAAAATGTCAAAAGTGATAGTTTTGAATTGACTGTGAGTAAAAGGAATGTTCCGACACGATGCATATGATGATTTTTTCAGCAAGGGTGTGTTCATTATGACAATGCACTCTATGATCATCCTTTAAAATGGTATATTGTATAAAATGTCATCTCAACCAATAACTTGTATCTTTTATAAAACAGCAACACAACAGTTTTAAACCACTTGACAAATTGATATTCATTGTTATATAAACCAAAACAGAATTGTATGAATGAAACAACGTTTTGAAAGAATAATAATTTTTAAATACAATGCAAGGGATTTGAAGTACTTATTGTCATTGTATTGTATCTGCATTTGTTTTAGACAAATACTATCTTAATAGTAATTGTTTTATTTTAACCTTTCCATATTTATATTTGTTTTTAGACTTTATGATTCATGCCTATTTCTGCTTATAGCGACCAGTTTCATTTATTTTATATTTGATTTACTAAACAAAGATAGTTCTGTTTTTCCGCATGACGGTGTTCGATTTTGTAAATGGATTGAGTGAAATAAGAGAACAAATTAACCTCAAATACCTGGGGTGCGATTTTAGCCAATGACGACTCTTCTAATAGTCCCTGTGAAACATTTTTCTACTTTTCACGCATTTGAATTGACGGTTCTCGAGGCATTATTTCCCTATGCACTATTTTAGCACGTTAAAACCTCCCGTCGTATTAAAATGTCTCAAAACGAAAATTTGATCAGTGCTAGCAAATCAGAACAAATCCCACTGAAGAGGTTTAACATGTAATTTAGGCTAGTTACTAATGTGGAAAAATCCTGCAAATAATGACCTCTCTATAGACCTGTTTAGGAGGTGTAAAACAAATAGCAACAAGGGAAAACGTTTTATTCGATCAAATGTTTCAATGTTGGGTCTCTAAACACACGTTATTATGAGGCTAATCACAAAGGGCAAAAGATTGCCATTTTGACGTGATCATTTATGTTTTGAACATTCTCTGGTTAAATAGATAAGACTTGTGACGTGAATTAGTGAAAATGTATTATAACATGTACATTTTGAATGAGAGAATTTTTAAATTTTTGAGAAGCTGTTTTACAAAGAAATCATTCCAAATACATTATATATTTATTTCAATTTAACTAATTATATGAAAATGAATATGAAGGCTACAAACATACACATTCATGTGATGTTCTTACTCGATGCGAGAAAAATTATTGCGGAACTTTGGCATTCTATAGCTCACCATGGCTATTAGCTCAAGTTGATGAGCCAATGCCCCAGGGATGACAGACAAATTAAAAATCACACTGTAGCACCACGGTGGCCCATCATAGATTGAATATAGGCCAAGTCACAACTATTCCAGTGATTATAACACATTGTCAACTTCAAGTAATCCAATCAGAAAGCCTCGCCACTGCCTAGGAAATATTATAGTCTCCTAGAATAGCGGTTTGAATAAAGGGCGTGAAATCTAGAACATGTAAAAATACAGGGTATGGTCTTATTTGGGAATCTTTCAATAGGGCCTCATAGAAATATTTATTACTTGAGAGCCTTTGTATCTGTCACAACCTAGTTGAGCTGAATTCTGAATTCTTCTATTATTTATTTTTTTTATTATTAGAATGTATCATTTCAACAATATGACAAACAAGTTAAGGACTTGATGTAAATTTGTTGTTTTGCATAACAAATGTCCGCCACCTGTAGAAGTGGAAAACTTTGGGAATATATCGGCAAGAGGAATAAAAGTGAGTTGTGAGGTAATGCAATGACCAAAGTCGACGCCTTAAGCCTAATCTCATTAAAATTCACCTGTATCGTAATATAAGAAAAAACACATAAAATATACCTTAATTGTCACACCGAGTTCATTTTGAGAAACATATTATATTATAATTCATGTTATAATCTTGATATTTTTGCGGGGAATTTTTATGGTTCCTTTTGACAAATACGATTTAGTGGACTGCGGTGTTTGAACTGTCTGCAAATACAGGCAGATTCTATATATTTACTCATCTTTCCTTCTTACATGTGACATTAACTAAGTACTACTCTCACTTTTGAGACCAAGTTTGGTCCCTGTGAGGCCAGATATTGGTCTCCAGCCTTTTAACACATTAGTTTAGTTGACTTAAGGAGCTAGGCCACTATTTATCTTAGAATCATCCTAAAAGACTGTATGAAGGCTTTGTAATTATAGCTTATTATAAGATATGGCTTTCGATAAATGTTATATCATTTTATCATTTTCTATTTTTTTCGAATTTGATATTATATCAAAATTGGAACAGAGCACTTAATGTGTTGCTGTTCAGAAATTTGGTGCAATTAAAATTGCGTAAATATCATGAATATTTTTGTCTGCAGTTAAAGAATGTTAGAATTATTTTATATATAAAGCATTCCCAGCCTATCGTCAGGCGCAATATTGGTCAATATTTGAGGTCTACTTTTGGTCTACTCATGAGGCGTACTTCTGGTCTACTTTTGGTTTTTCTCTGTGTTAAATCCCCATAGTCAGGCGCGTTTCAAATATTTAAATTAAGCCAAAAGTAGACCAGAAGTAGACCTCATTTAATGACCTCATCAGGTTTATCAGGTCTATATTTGAGGTCTAGACCTCATTTAAGCCTCAACTATATGTAAATCAGGTCTATATTTGAGGTATACTTTTGGTCTACGCCTTATTTGAGGTTCACTATTGGTTTTCAGGTCTACTTCTCTTCTGCTTTTGGTGTACACCTTACGTTAAGACACATTTCAATTATGGAAATTAAGCCTTAAGGTCTACTTTTGGTCTAGACCTCATTTCAGGTACAAGCCTCATATACCTGTAAGTAAGGTCAGGTCATGTTTTGTTGTTTCAAAGTAGAAAAGTACTAAGTACATATCAGTACCCTCCATAGTTGTTAAATAAATTGCATTTATTTTGAATTGCTGTGTTGTTTTCTAGGATTAACTTGTCTCATGGATAAGATACAGATCTATGAACACATTAGAAAGATGAAGCAAAAATTACACAGTATTCTTATATAAATTATATGTAGGCTTCTAATATGATGTATTTTTGTTTCATCATTTAAATTTAACAATATTTCAATATTTTATTATTTTCAGACATCCTTCTTTAGGTTTCCCAGATTTTGATTATTTTTTTAAGTTCTGATAAAAACCATTAATAGGGAGTTGAAAATATAGTTTACTGGTCTGTTAACCTAATATATTATAATCTGTCTCCTTCGTGATGTTGACAAAATACTACAGTATTCAGATTTATGTTTTCTAAGTTTTTAAAAAAATTCTATGTTTATCAGGTCTAGATTTGGTCATTTTATAAATGTTTAAGTTTTTAAGGCGCAGTTTTGGTCTATACGCCTGTCAGTGAGGTCTATTCTAAAATGTTCTTAGTTTATCAGGTCTAGATTTGGTCATTTTGAAAATTGTTCAAGTTTTTCAGGCGCACTTTTGGTCTATACGCCTTACAGTGAGGTCTATTCTAAAATCTTCTAAGTAAATGTGGTTTAGATTTGGTTTTTAAGGCGCAGTTTTGGTCTATACGCCTGAAAATAAGGTCTATAACTGGAATTATTGTGAGTAAATGAGGCTAGGTTTTGGTCTAAGCCTTAAAAATACCTGTAAAAGAGGCATACTTTTAGTCTAGACCTGAAAGTAAGGCGCATTTAAGGTTAACTTTTGGTCTACGCCTCAAAAACCTGATGATAGGCTGGGTTACTAAACAGTGACAATGCTATATTTACAAATGAATTATTTATATATTAGTTTAGAAAATTTAAAGAACCTGTTCTTAGATTTTATTCATTTAATACATTTTCATTTTAGAACATTTCTAATTTATAAGATTGATGGTTTGGGGACTCCTGAGCTCCCTTATGTATCTATCAGTTTCCCTCAAAACTCTGAGCGAAAAAGTAACAGTGTTCATGTTTTCAAATCCAAAATAGAATGAAAAGGAGTGGAAAAGGCAAGGAATACTATAAACAGGGATGAAGTGGACATCTTGAATTATATAGAAATGCAAAAAAGTCTAACACCTCATTCAAATTTTAGAGAGAAATAATGCGGAATGTACAAAAAAGCAGACGGATATGATGAACGGGTATCCTGACATTTCCATAAATATCAGTGAGAGTTTGATAAATTTCATAGATCTTAAGTATTAAGATTATAATTATAGAAGTATAATCGATGCTCCTATAGGGACTATACATCAAACTGGTGACGCTGCTCTCGATAGTTAAAGTAACGTCCCCCCTTCCTCCAGGGTTGTTTTGAAATTTACATTCGCTATCCTCCCCCACATTCCCCTATGGTACTTGCACTTTATTGCCAATTTAAATTTGTGTTATTTATACAATTATGTCACATGTCTAAAAAGAAATTAAAGAAATATTAAAATGTTTAAAATAAGTAACTAATATGTCTTTTTTATTTTGCAGATTTTTCCTCAAGTTTTTTATGAAGTGTAACCAGAATTGTCTGAAAAATGCTGGGAATCCTAGAGATATGCGCAGATTTCAGGTAAATATTTTCAGATGTTGCCATGGAGAGGTCACAAATCATTCTCATGATACTCATTAAATTTAGAAGAATTAGCATGAAATTATATGAACAGGCAAGAATTTTCAAATTGAAAGGAAAAGACAGAAAATTAGACACTTCATTTAAATTACAACGATAAATTCATTCAGAGTTCATTTAGTTGAATTGTTACTTCACTAATAAATATTCTTCACGGAGATAGATATTCTAATGTCGAGTGCTGAATATATTCCTTTGTTAAGCATTTATGTGATGAAAATAAAATTATATTTATTTCCTTCATACTCCGCAGGATCGAATTTGTAAATTAATTTTAGTACAATTGCAAAAGAATGAACAGTTAATGTACAATTATCAAATTATATCAATTGCTTGTCGATTATACACTTGCCTTTATTGTCCCTAAAACCATGAATTGTCACCTTAATGAAAAATAGGAAACCATCGTTGTCATAAACACGAGAGAGCCACACTTTACTAATTGTATTTTCTCAATGCGAAGGAGTTAATGTCATTGAAATATCACTGATAGTCTAATGTGTTATAAAACATATGCAGTGCATCGAAATCATATTCAATTAAATATATGGATACACTTGAATGAATATATGCTAGTCATTTTTATCAGTCTATACCATATAGTGACAGATTCAATTTTCCTCTGCGGGAGCTTGTAAAGACTTCTCTGATAGTCATTCGACCATGACGTTAGTACGCCCAAATATGGACAGATAAGCTAAAGGTTCGGAGGTTAATTTAGAAGATTTATGATGCTGCCATTTGTCAGTGCGGATAACAGAAATAATATATAAATGTTTTTTAATGGTAGTATTTATGAATGACTTATGTCGCAATGAAGAGGGCTATGGGTCATTGAATACCATTCATTTGTTTGTGACGAATATTTTAAATGAGCTATTACGCAAATCCTGTTTTTGATCCAAAAGTCATTAATTTATTGTTATAAATGATATATATTGGATAATTAGGTCCAATTTATTTGTGGTAATTTCAATGGTTGGTATCAATGTAATTATAAGCACTTGGTTCAACTCATCAATTCATTGATTCTTTAAGATCAAGTTTCAAAGTTTCCATAATCAAATTGAGTAATAAACTCCCATTGCTTTTGAAGCACTGTCAAGTTTATGTATTGAATTACAAGTCTGGAACAGAAAGATTAGAACCCCTTAGAATTAAATTTGTCACCCGGCTGATTTGCTCACGCCAAATGTTGCAACAATTCCGTGCTAGTGTTCAGGCAAAATCTTGCGAAATAAGAAAAAATATGAATTTTGGTTACACATTCTGAAGATGACAGGTCTAGTTTTGGATGCCTTTAATCATGAACACTTCTTGAAAACTGTTGAAACCTTGAAAACAATGAGAGTAATGAGTGAATGTAGTTTTATGTATAACGCAATTCTATTTTGAAAGGCAATCCTGTAAAAGACTGCTTATGTTTGAAATTCAAATATTTCCCTCGATTACATAAAGTTGGTTTTTGACAAATTAAATACTTTTTTCAATCACCATGCATAAACAGGCTTTAAGACATCCTCCTTTAACAAGAGAGATGTTTGGACATTATAAGATTTATGTATTACCCACATATTTTACAGAACACCACCTTTTCATGTATTTCTAGTATTTTGAGCAAAATCCTTAAAAACAAAATTTATCAAAATATTTTCTTTATTTAGGTGGTTCTTAGTACTCAGGTTGCCGTTGACAACGGATTCCTGTTGGCATGCTCAGAAAACATGTTTATCCACAACAATTCCAAACATGGGCGAAAACTGGGTCGTGATCTCGATGTAAAAAGTGAGCATAACTTCTCATTACTAGAAATTTAGTTAGTACTCTCGTGTGCTTGTAGGTGGCAGTGGCGTCTCAAGTGTCAGTAGAAGGCCCTCTTTTGTCAGTCTCCGACAACATGTTTGTGCATAACAACTCCAAACATGGTCGCAGGGCTCGGAGATTGGACCCGACAGAGGGCGGTTGGTATTGTAAGATATCACTACGCCTCTTTGACATTTTACGCGCTACTACGCTTTTGTATTTAGTCCTATATATACACATAGAGCATCTAAAAAAATTCCATTTGGGCATTTTTGTTTATATTGTCTCATCATAGATGAAAAAGATTTTAATTTGCCAATAAGACAGAAATTAATATGATCATTATTGATGCTCAATGTGTATATATCCTGCTTTGTTTGTTTGTTTTGTCTTGTGTTTTAGCAAATAACCCTTCCTTGACCTTTGAAGGTCACTTTATACCCTAGGTCAAAGGTCAACTGCATGTCAGCGCTTAATTATATTTTTATATTAGGTACATACTTTTTATTAGAATACCTTTATACAACAATAAATAGATTTCAACTATGAACTTTAGGGCTGCATTTTGAGCTGTTTTATAACATATATCATTTTCATATAAGATAATTAAACCATGTGCTATTCAGATTCACTTAGATTGTTTCAAATGCATGATTATGATTAAATAATATATGAAAATAGACTCCCTTTCAAATAAAATCCCCTTGCTCTAATGTTGGGGGAGAAGGGAGAAGGGGGATGGGTCCAGGTATAAGTCTTATTCCTAGACCTCAACCATACCTTGATATGGTGGGTGGTGTTTTTGATATGCATAATTAGTATTCTGTCAATGACATAAAGCTGATGATAAAAACACTACAGATTGGTGACATGAAAATGTTTTTATATAAGGAATCTGTCATATTGGAAAATATTATGAATATAATCAAAATTCCATAAAGAATTTACATTTAGTTCAAGTTGTTGAGTTAATTATTATAACAGGTTTATTCCTATGAAGAATTGATTTGGAATAAATTAAATATAATACTTCACCATATGTCAATACTGAAAAAAGTATACGGCATCACAGAGGAAACTTTAAAAGAGAAAACTTCAGAGAACATTTTTTCTTGATTTTTTAATCAAATGTCATGCAAATCGTATGCAGTGAGTATAAATTCATGCACTATTTGTCACAATGTTATTTAAAAAAATTATTCCAGTCATATTTGCAGTTGATTCTTTTCAATTTAGAATTAATATTTGACATATTTGTGTTGCGTTTTGACGGTAACAGTAAAGAATGGCTATACCTCTGAGATGTCATTTTCCGATCCATTTTTGAGGAAATATTATTCATGGTATGTTTCAGTATCATGGGAGACAATGCTACTTAGGCATCAACATTAATCATATTATATGCCAGAAGGTGCCAAAATATGATTTATTAAAAAATGTAATTTTAAGTGCTCATATTCAAATTGATATAACTCAAATAAAAGCCCAAGTGATACCAATCTCAAAATGTGAAATAGTAATACCTAAAAATGTCAATATATGATCTTAAGCTCATAAGGGTATATGCAAATACATGTAAACCTAATGTTGAAAGATTTTGATGCGGAATGGCATGCTCAACCAAGCTCAAGTTTTTATTATTTTGTTTTATTGATATCGTCCATTGTCCACCTGTTGTTAATGGATTGTGTCAGTTAAATTATTTCAGTTCATAACTGCCACACATCCAAGATATTGAATTATTAATTGCTTAAAAACATTTTCAAACCAAAATAATATTTGTGCCAGTCAGTATACAAAATAACATTTATCAATGGTAGATGTTGTGTATTAATATATTTCTGTCTCTATTTTCCTTGAAACGTCATCTTGGGAGTAAAAAATATATTACCAACTGCGCTCTATAGAGTATAGACTCAAAGCGTGCTGTAATTTGTGGTGGATCGAAGCATGACTTTTGATGGACTATGGCCGTCAAATAGTATCTACGCTCCATAAACTAAGCATCATGGGTAATGACATTTTTGGCATGCATATTTATCACAACCATTGGTTTACGCAGAAATTGATAGCCTTCGTAAAGTAAAAACGACAGCTCGTATTTTTCAACTCACTGTTCTCCGAGGGAAGAAAAGTAAAACCTCCGAGGAATTAAAAACTTCAGTGGTCCCAGCTGGTCTTAGTGTTGAGAACATAATAAGAGCGGAGAAATTCATCAGCTTCTCATTGGTTTTCGGATTGTACTGACAATAATTAGCAGTTGAATGCTTCCATCAAGAACTAATCGTGTCATGTAATTGCAAACGGTGACATTTAGTCCCTTATGCTTCCATTCCTGACCCCTTCTCTTGATAATCAGGTCATATCAGCTTTTCTCCAGAAGCACTCTAGACATTTAGTCCCTCATGCTTCCTTTCCTGACCCCTCCTCTTGATAATCAGGTCATATCAGCCTTTCTCCAGAAGCACTCTGAGAATACAGTATATCCCAAAATTAACAATGGCCTGTATTTTAAAATCACACTTTGTAACAATTTCAATGACATTTGGTAATATTTTAAAAAGTCATTGGGTCGCATTTAAAAGCAATAATAAGTAAGATTTTAAAATGTACAAATGAGTCTTGCATAGATGTACAGCCACCCGGGTAACTATTATCTTTGTTATATGCTTCAAATTATAAATTGAAGTAAAATGGGCAAAGAATAGAGAAAAAAAGAATGAACCAAAATAAGGCCATGCTCAGACTCTCATACACAATGTTCCTTATCCTGGGAGATTACTTATTAATTCGCTAGGCCATCTCCAAATATTGATGCCTTTCTCCGCTTATCATGCAAAAATTTAGGATAAAGAGAATTAGTTATAATACCCACTATGTCCCTGGACGGTCATTTGGTAAAGATTCGTCTTTTGATTGTTTGAATTCAAATTAACCTCTATCAAAGAATAGGTCCATTATTTGCAAATTACTCCCCAAGTAGCTGATTTAGTGTCGTTATGCTATCCCACGGGCCAGTAGTTGGGCATATTCAGATATTTGATAAAGTCCCAATATCTAATGGTGGTTTGATGGAAAAATTAACCCCCATTTATTTAGTCTCTTTTATCAGATTTTAAATAATTTCATTTTTTATATACGTCTTTGCTATTTATTTTACCCATAGGAGCTCCAAGACACCGCGATGTCGTTATAGAATTAGGAACTTGGGAATTCAGGCAAATGGGCTGAAATGGTGGAATGTTTACAAATTGTGTATTATTCTTTCAATTTGCTAGTTATGGCTATGTCTAAATTAACATTGATAGGCCCGCTTTTATTTTGATTTTTTCTGTTTTATTAATTTTTTGAATTACTTTAGGTAGCAGAGAATGTCATAAGGCTTTTGAATTGTAGGCAGTAAATTTAATGTGTTTTAACATGCATCCGTATTTTTCATTTAAATTGTGGAATATTATAATCATGAAAGATGAAAGATATATTTTTGAAATTAATTATCTTTGAATAACATTGTATGAATTTTCAGTTACTTATTTCAGTAAAAATGTATTTTAAATAAAAATAAGATATTCAAATTTTAACATTTTTGTTTTTGTTTTTCCAGCTACTCCATGTATCAAGGCAATTTGCCCTAGTGAGGGCTGGACAACAGGGGGCACCACTGTCATCATAATCGGTGACAATTTCTTCGATGGCTTACAAGTAGTATTTGGTACAATGCTAGTATGGAGTGAGGTGAGTTGTCCCCTTTTACACATCTTAGTGAATCTGTGTTTAAATAACCTGTTTTACTTTTTCACATGAGCCCTTAGCACAGAATTTTCATTCTGTGTTTTTTAATTATTATTCAGGGTTTCTTGGACCTTGTTAGAATGAACTTACTAGATTCTACCTTCTAATGGATTAATCTAGATTTTACAGCTGTTTTATTCCAGCAAATTATATTTTAAATTAGAAATGTTGTAAAGAGGAAGCCCTATTGCATTCAAAGTATCGCAATAACAAATTGCAAAAGATGAAGCGGGAAATTTTTCAACATTATATCTTGACTGTTTATTCATTTATTGTTTCAGTTAATTACGTCACATGCAATCCGAGTGCAGACGCCACCTCGTCACATACCTGGTGTAGTGGAAGTGACACTGTCATACAAGTCAAAACAGTTCTGCAAGGGTGCACCAGGACGCTTTGTGTACACATGTAAGGATTTATTTGTCTACAAATGAAATAAGACATATCATCTGTTTGTTGAACTCTTGTATACAAGCCAAAAAATATGAGAATGTCAAACTACAGTTAAACCTGTCTTAATGAACTCTTCCTCTGCACATACTCTACTGACTTCTGTATAATTTACCCTCTCTGTAGTGAACACCTAACAACACTGAACATTTTTCTTGGCAAAATAATGTTCAATATACACAGGTTTTACTGTAAATGTAGCAGTAAAAGGGCCTATGGTTTAATCACAGTTCTTTGTGCTTATCAGGACTATATTTTTATATTTTGTTCTTGTATTGCTGATTTCTTATTTTTCACTTTCTGAATCACCTGATGCATCTGTTGCATAAGGAGTTGCAGGATACCAAACTCAGCAATTTTAAACACTTGTACAAAATTAGAAAAAATTAACTCGAAACCTGTCCCCCATAAAACATACAAATGAGAAAAACAATTAACTTGTATGATTTACTCCTATTCATAATTAGATTACTACTACAAAATTAGAAAATATTGTTGAAAATCCTGATTTTATTTGGCGTCATGATTACTGTTATTATTATTAATACGCTTAATAATATATCTCAAATGGCTTTTAGTGGATTTTTATTCATGCCCTCCATGAATGGCCCTGTACTTTCATAAAAACATTCTTTGATCTTATTTTGTTGTATTGAAGAATAGATTAACAGATTAACTTGATCTTTCAACACTAACAGATGTTACATTGCGTCTAGTATTGAACTTTATACCTCATCACCATGACAACCACCAAACTCTTGTCTAAATCTTCATCACATTAGAATTAACACTAATGGTTACTATGGTAACATAAATCATTTTACATCAACTTGTCCGCATCTAATTTGCTTTTTGGCTGATTCATATTCACCCTTTTTTAAAACAATGAGTTAATCTCCTTTATCTTTGTCTTCATCGCCTTGTATGGTCTTAAAAAAGATTTTCCAATTGTTTCGTGGTATGGTTAGCAGAATGAAATATTGCATAATTTAATTCAAGAATTATACACAATATTTCATTTTCATAATTGATACAGTTTATACATCCTGTATGTATTCCTCATTTACCTATTCTTTTTAGAATTCGAAAAAAAAAATATTTGATTCATTTTTGGTAATTACAAAGTTCTAATTTTGCTTGTGTACTATCTGTCACAAATTCCACTGTTTTTCCGCGCTGTTTTATGCAAAAGCATGAATTTTATTTGTAATTTTAGTCTGTGTTGGAACAGAATGCAGAACTCATTTAACAGGTGGCCTTAAATTGCCAAGATCACCTCTACCTACCAAGAAGTTGTGTTTTAAATGTGAAATTGCACAAAATAGAGTGGAATTAGCAAGGAATAAAATGAATGTACAAGTTGTGATCACTTTTAAATGATGAAAAACTTCTAAAAATTTGCTATTTCATTCAGATTTCTTGTGAAAATTGTACAAATGATTATAATACAAGTGATAACTTCCACACAGGTGCAAACTGGAGGATTATTTCAACTTTCTAAGCCAATGGCTAATCCATGCAGTATTCACTGGTGCATCAATGAATCTTGGTGAAATCTCTTTAACAGAATATCCTCAAACCCCGGACCTCACACTCATGGTTTTTTCATTGTTCAATTTATACTTCCCTTGTATCCATTTTCTCCAATTTCTATCTAATTTACAAAAGTATTCATGTTTTTTATTAGTTTATATTCTTCCTGCTTTTGTCTTTTGCCGTGTATTTTACAATTTGACTTCCTTGAGGTTTTGTTCGTGGGTTAGGGTGCTAATTACTGGTCCAGTTGTCGTCAAAAGGATGCTAAATGACAGTGATGGATTACCCTTTACAGATGTCTCAAAGTCATCTGTGGTTTTAAAAAAGTTGAATTACGATATGTTTTCAAATTAAGTCTTCCAGATGCCATGAAATCACAATCTTGGATTATGACCACTATTAGCATACAGATTAAGCATAAGAAATATACTGTATCAATACAAAGAATGAACATGTTTTAGGGAACAATTTAGATTTATTTTAACTTAAGCTGTAACTAATATGTCATTGGACATGCATGATTGTATGTGGATCTGCCAGTTTATTTTGTGTGTCATTGTTTTAAGAAAATGAATTCAATACCAAATATCATACAGTATAAAGTATTTTGTGTATCCTGTTGTACTTGGTTATACAATGTATGTGTAATGCATTTAAGTACAATTTCACGATTTTGTACAAATCCCATTTTATGACTCAAAACTTATTCTATTGCAGCATTAAATGAGCCAACTATAGACTATGGCTTTCAACGTCTCATGAAGCTTGTACCAAGACACCCTGGGGATCCAGAAAGGCTACCAAAGGTAAATATCAAACAAACAAAATGGAAATTGTGATTATAATCACACTGATGAAACAGTATTTCTTATTGAAGAAAAAATACTATTTAAGATTTTAAAAATTAAATCACATTTCTATTTTATTGATGTTAAATGATGTTTATTGACTTAACATGTTATGATACCATTATCATGTGTGCTACTCTGTGATTGGTCAATTCTGAATCATGTGACTTATTACGTGAGAGAAATCAGGAAACATACTTGAAAAGAAGAACACATAGTTTGTGACAATAAATACAGTAATTGCATTATATTTTCTATTGCACGGGACAATGATGTAGTTTTACCCAAAATAAGTTAAATTTACACTGACGAGGAACTTTGAAATTTTGTCGACAATCTTCAACAAAAATAATAAGGGTTTCAATCATTTTAACTACCTCTAACATCTTCAAGAGAGAGATAGTATTAATTAGTTTCAGCAATAAAAATATTTTTACCGTCATAAAATTATGAAATTATGTATTATGAAAAGTCATTTCTATGCAGCGACACATCAGATTGTCAAAAATTTCCTCGAGAATGTCCCTTGTGTGACATATCTTGGTATAACATTGGAGTTTGAAATTAGCACCGATGTTTAATGATAAAATTGAAAGCTATTTGTATTCTTGTGACTGTGTAATTTGTAATCGTGATGACTTATAAGATCCCTGGGAGTGATTATACCACCCCACTTAATGTCTTAAAGATACATACCCCTCCGTTTGTCAACATCCATCAATGCAATTTCGGCACTTTTCCCGATACCCAAGAGAGAATCATGGGTAAAAATATTCAAATTATCCGAAGAGTCGACTGTGATAAAGAGGAGGGGGAAATATGTTGTTTAATGGACGTAAGAAGGAGACCGGTCAGGTTGAATTGTTACGAATAATAGGGGTCACTCCCTGAGGGTCTGAGAATAATTTAACCCCCTCCCACGGGACCCCTCTGGACATTATTGATACCTCCACATTGCATTTTAATGACTTCGCTTATAACTTATTATGACTATTATTATTTTTCTAATGAAAGTTTCTCCCTTGTGACTCCAGAGTTATTATTCGGGCTGAGATGAATGTTAAATAAGAGATATCTTTTAGGCACAGTCGCCTCAGCTAATATTTCTCTTTTATATTTACTTTTTACAACATAATCAATTTGCTACACAGCTTAAAGGATTAATGAGCATGCTGGAAAGTAGAAATGTCCCCCAGATATATAGATTCTCATATATTTTATGAAGTAATGGATAGATGCTACCACCTTCACATTGTTACGTCATTAGGGACATCATATTCACTTAAAAATATGCAATTATCAATTGAAGCTGTTGTCAGTTTGTCATTGGACTTAAGATTTATTGTCATCAGTTTGTTCCTCTGACTCCCACATTTGATGCAATGCAAATGATGATAAGATTGGACATAATTTAAGGAGCCCTTAAATATTAAAGACAGCAGTTTCAAGAGAGGGGTTCTATCAGAGGTTGCTGGATTTTCATACCTTATTTTCTCTCATAGGTCTTATATCACATTTTTCTTTACCTTGGTATCATAAAGATTTATTGAAATTTGTCAAGTACGTAACATTTTGTTTTAGACTTTTTTACCATGTGTTTTTCATGGAGGGGGACTCTCACTTTGTAAATTGATAGACACCACCCCTCGTAACTGGTTAGGACCAGAGCCAATAGGGGGGGGGGGGGGTTACCTTGTCAATTGATAGATCATTCCCCCTCTTAAATGACAAGGATATAGAGTCGTACTGTACTTGTAAGTTTTGGGATGTCCACACAACACTCTTGTTCCCTGAGCTGGGATACTAATATATTTGATATAAGTAATTTATCTTATTACATTTGGGCCTGTGTTATGTCCTAATGATGTCATTGATTGATTGAAACTGTATCTTTTCTGCAAAACTCTAGACGATCCATCAACGCACAATATGTTTTTCCACAGTTAAAATTTTGATGGAAGGGGTCATAAAAACATTTTTCTGTCATTTTCCAGCTTTTTTAAGTCAAAGTACAATCATCTCAGGAATTAGGAAGTCCCAAAAAGGGATGTTAAAAAAATCGCAAATTTCCCCCGAGTTCTATTAATCATAATTTCGAGGCATAAACAGTGTTAGTTGTGCTGTCTGTTCACCTCTGAATGTGACCTCGTAGCGTTAAAACATTTCTCCAGCAATTGTTCAGACGTAAATTTGCCGAAATTCTCCAAGGTAATAATCGACTATAGAGGATGATTCCCTATTTATTTCTTTATAATGATATTAAAGAATTCTAGGGGTGAATTGGTATTCTAGCAGCGCAACTTAATCATAATATCCTGTCAAAATTCAAAAATTGTATTTTCTTGTTAATAATTCACTTTATTCCCAATTCCCAGTTCATGTTAAATGCATACCAATTGAGCTGATTTTTCAGTGCAGTTCTGCAATGTTAATAAAACTGGTCTTGTTTTAAATGCGAAAAATCATTAAAAACAGAGAAATAAGAGAGAAATATAATAGAGAGGAATAAAGTCAACCTTCTTAAATGTAAAAGAATGTCAGAAATTATGTCTATTTATTTAGATTTTAGAGAGAAAATAAGAATTGCTATAGGCAAAATTTCTGCATGGAGACATAGAGTTTTTAGAGTTGGACTCACTAAATAGATAGCCTTAAGCTAATTTAAAATCAAAATGGGAAAATAATCTGATCAACGTTTTATGGAAGATTAATTACCACAACTATTCTAAACTGTTTAACAAAACTTCTTTCCATTTTATTCTTACTTTTAACATAGAGAACTCTGTATTTCATTATAGCCTTGCCAAATGGGTAAAAATGATTATTTATGAAATATTTTTTATCGACTTCAAGAATCTGGTTTTGGTGCATATGATAATAACGTATGATAGAGTAGAATGGTGGTGTTGGGTATACATGATAACTTTTTATTTGCATTTGTGGTAATGGTGCTTTTTGCTTCACTTTTAGGTGAATGGTTTTTAAGGTTTTTAGGTCTTACTAATTATGTTGAGTAATTTTCCTTTTAAAATATCTCACTGGATATCTTTTAATTAATATTTCTATTATATTTGTTGTTATATAAAATACTCTCTACCAAACTAATTTCTGAATAAATGAATGAATATGATAAAATAAAATATCAAAATATTGAATTCTGGTTTTTATTTTCCAGGAAATAATCTTAAAGAGGGCAGCAGACTTAGCCGAGGCATTATACAGTATGCCTCGCAATCCCAACCAACTATCACTCCCAGCTCCTCGGTCCCCAGCAATGAATCAAAGTACTGGATTCAACACATACAGCGGTCAGTTAGCCGTCAGCGTACAAGACTCAACCAATGGTCAGTGGGAAGAAGGTTCGTCAATGACAATCCCATGACATCACTTTCTGTCACATGGCAACCTTCGGTTATTTTTAGTTCATATTTTTAGTCAGAGTACAATAGTAGTGTCATCTAAGTTTGAATATTTTAAAGAATATTTTAATTCAATGTTATTTCGATCAGATTTGAAACCTTTATAGGCACATGCACATTTTATTCATTTTCATAGTTAGAATTCATCGTAAGAATTATTATAGCACCTGCCAGCCATTTTGATTTCTCGACACCTCTTATGATTTCATTGCACAAAAACTGCACTTTCATAATATTTGATCGTAGAATTGAATATCTCTCTGGTTATGTCATCTTTGGTATTCCGATAGAAAAAGTGGATTAAGCTAGAATAGGAGACATAGAAAAGGGGAAAATCCACATTATATCAATATCCCATAAGCCAGAAAATTTAAGATTCTTTCTTTACATTTTACATGTACAAGTTGAGAAAAACGTTTGAAGTCAATATGACCCGTGGGTTATTTTAAACAATTCTAAAAATATATGTCTACATATGGATGGTTTCTTTCTTTTAGGTTATACAAGGACTCAAAATAACAGCGTATCCCCGAGAGGTTACGGATCAAATGGCTCCACCCCACATAGTAATGGTTCTAGTTATAGCGCTAGTAGTATGAACGGCTATGGCGCAACTACTGCGTTAACGAATATGGGTATGACAACGTCTGATTTCCTGCACTCGACCCACGGACCTCATTGTGAGCATTTTTCTGGAGTTGTTTTTCACATTTCTGCACTTTTCACATTTTTATACCCCATTTTGGACTTAATCCCGCAATTTAGAAATTTTAGAGTAAAAATGGATTTTAAGTGAGGAGTTTTTCATGATGTCTGAATTAAAGATTCAAACAGAAGCCAGAGCAAAACTTTTTGTGGCATGCCATGATTCACTGCTGAACAGTTATAGTTAGCTTTGCCAAATAAGGTGTGGTGCTCTCTAATCGCAAACAAGCACATTAAAAGGCAATGGAAGATAGTGATTTTGGATGCACAAATATCCGGCATTATACTAAATATGAACTGGGATTAACATACTATCTCGTATAAGATAAAATTGAATATAATTTTGAACATTAACCTTTCGATATCGCAAAATGTTCCACTTTATTTGCGATATCAACTGTGGCCTTTTGTGTGATTTGAAGAGCTCCAACCTTAACTATACTTTGATTAATTTTTGTTTTTTCTCTTCTGTTTTGTAGTTTCTTCTCATTCGCCTACGTTACCTCACTCAAACCTTAGCACTAGCGGCACAACCCCAGGAATATTTTCATTTTCACCCGCCAATATGATCTCCGCTGTAAAACAGAAAAGCGCTTTTGCCCCCGTGGTGAGGCCGGGAGGCAGTCCCCCAATGCCAAATGGCACACACACATCAGCTTTACAGGGCGGTTGGGCACATCCAATATTAAACGTAAGAATCATATTTTCCTTTACCTCTGCTCTTAAGCATTACAAGCATTCATTTTGGATAAAAGTGGGCTTGGGTGGAAAATTTTTGAAGATGTTATATTCCCAGATTTGATAAAATGGATGACTTGTGTTGCTATAGCAATTTGTGGGCTACTATGATGTTCCTGTCGTGTTGATGTCTTGAGACAAAAATGTGCCATTAAAGTGTATTTTATTTTTTTCATTACTTTTATGTTTTATTTGCTTTCTTTCTATTCTTCTATATATTCTATTTATTACTTTATCTTTAAACATTGAATCATGGACTGATCTTAGCTAATGTAGTGGACATTTTCAATTAATGTCGAAGTTTACTTCAGTTAAAACTTCTGCTAGAATAATACCTGATATGTCTTTTTTATGCATTCTATTTTTGACATATTTTCCCCAATATCTTCACTGTTTAAAATCCATTTTTGTAATTTTTTAGTGTTTTAAAAATTCAACTTTTTATCTCACAATGGTGGTCGACTGGAGAAGGGGTTGTATCAATATGTCAGTGTCCACCAAAATTATCATAAAGACAATATTAATAATGTAATTTGATGGACATTGATGTTATGACTCGACCCCTCGAATAATAGAATAACGTGATAAAACCATATCTGATATTCTAATGGTGGTATTTTAAGATACTAACCCAAATTTGAAATTGAAATAAAAAACAGAGTATGTCTGGCACTCTCTGCACATTTCGTCTCTTATTGATCACACTGATTGAATAATTAAAATCACCATTGAATATTTTGAAGGGTTTTTGAAAAAGAATAGTTAGTGAGAATACGGAATGAAAAAGTAGCTTGCTTGTGTCACAAACACATTGTTGATTATATAGCACCCGTAATTGTCGTATAGATGGCGTGTTCTGCATCAAATGGAATTTTGTATGTATGTCATAGAGGACGTGTCTAAAGAAATCTCGGTTTCATGTTTTTTATTTCACACAGCTACAGCCATTGTTGAATGCCCCATAATCCTTTACTCATAGAGACCATGTACATTTGATTTAATTAACCTCCATAAATCAGGTATAACTGGTGGACGACAATTCTATCAATGTAAGGGAAATTTGAAAATGACTGGTTGCAAGAAAATTTGAAACCTGGATATGGTCTTTAGACATTGTACATATGTAACTATAATAATGATAGTAAATGTTATTGTTGTCATGTGATGGCCTGACCTGCGAAATAAAGGGAATGAATATCAATGCCTGGAGTTCACATATTTTTCAAAGAATGGTGACCTGTATATGTAACATAACCAGGGGATCATTAAGAGAAACCTCGTAAAGTCAAGAATTCCTAAACCATTGTTGTAACTGATGATATTATGATGTCATACATAGTAAAGGAACAATGAACTTTTGGAATTTTTCATTTTACAAGGCTTTGTTAACGACGCCCAGAGTAACATTTTAATGTTGGTAGGTAGATGTTGTATATGTATGTAGTGTTATTGTTCAATTCTAGGTTAAAATGGAACAATTGGCAAACACCTGGGCTTCCATAGTGGTATGTGCAGTTATATATCAGTCTCCCTCAGAGTTCGTCCCACCCCCAACCCACCCCACCCCTACCCCTACCCCCATATCTTACCTGCATGTTCAGCCCCTCCCCCTTCCCAGGAACCCCTCTACTACTACACAGTGAGAGAATGATGTTTATATCAGGGAGGATTGTGAGGGGGGTGACCGCTCATCCCAAAAAAAAGAAAAAAAAGCAATTTTGTAAAATTTGTTGGAAAAACATTAACAAATTATAGTTTGATATGCTTAGAATACACCATATTCAATGTAAATTTCAAAAAATTTCTGGTACCACTGACCCCCTTTTTGGGGTTTGCTTCGCTCACGGTGACGCAAACCCTAAAAATCGAACTCCCCTTAACATTTGCTGGCTACGCCCCTGAATATAATTACTGCTTAAACTAAATGTGCATGGCCAATATTTTGAGGTCATTAGTGACTGAACTGCCATTTATATGATGACACCTTGGCTAAGGTAGGCAGAGTGTAATGATTTATCAGGCAGTTAGGTCCAGAATTTCTAGCTCATTGCCTACCTTAAAGTCATTGTCATCAGAATGAAATGCATGAACTCAAGAATGAATATGTTTTGAAAATTACCACAACAATTATTTGAATGATATGAATGTATTGATATTATGGTATCCATTTATATTCATTACAATTTAATTGTAGATGTGGCATTCTTATAAAACTAAAGAAATGATAATTTTGTTAAATTGTGATGTTAATCATTGAAAAATAATGCTTTAAGATTCATTTGTTCTCTTTGTGATCACTTGTTTTTATTTAAAGTGTTAAATATTTGATTATTTGTGTGATTCCAACAAAAATGTGATTGTTTGTGTTATTTCCATTAAATATGTGATTATTTGTGTGATTTCAGGAGTAAATTCAGGTCTGACTCCTTTCACCTCCATCAACCCATTCTTCAGTACACCCTCTACACCATACGGAACATCGCTGATGCCTCTCACACCAGCGAAATAACACTAAGTGGACGACTGCACACAAATCTACTCAGATTTTCATTGCATATCATATCATGTTCGAACATTGTTGGACACTTTTTCATGATATTAGTCAAATTAGTTCTAAGTCAGATACCATTGTACATAAACACAGTGCAATATCATCATTTTGTGCAAAAATAACATGAGGTGGCTCATGACTCGCAATATGTGGTTGCTCATGGAAAAGAGCAGACGGGAATTGACGAACTAGTCAGTAAATATGTATATTATATTGTAAATATTTTTCAATCAGATTATGTCAATTTTCTACACTAACGTTATTATAAATATGCAAACCTTTCTCATATTAAAGACAATATGAGATTTAGAAAAAATGTTCGTGCATCTTGACACGAAGCATGAAAAGCTATGTCCATATTTGGTTCTTGCCCATATTATGTATCCCTAGTCATAGCTTGGGGAAATACTAGCAATCTTTACACACTTCTGCAAGTGACAAGTAAATAGCAGATTCACAAATATGATTTATTATCATAAATAATTAATTTAATTTATCATAGAATTAAAGAGATAGTGAAGGTTACTCTTGAAACCAGGGTGCTTAATAAGGATATCAGGCCAACTTGTCAAAATTAAATCATAGACCAGTTGCCATGTTATTTTCCTACACAAACTGAATAATTAGCCAATCCAAAAACTTCTTGGCTTTGGGTCTTTCGGCTGGTGTGTCATATTGATCACCCTTTTTCATATCAAAATTTTTTCTGAGAATAAATATTCAAAAAGTGTGTGTGAACTTTGGAACTTATTTTGCATTTACATGTAGTGTCTATGAATGTAACACTGGATATAGCCATATAATGCAATCTATATGTTAAGTGCACCGATATCTTCCAAATATAGCGGAATGCAGGGTTTAAATGCAACATTGTGAATCAAACACCTATAAAACATATATCCAGATCAAAATAGAAAATTATACCAATATAAACTACACAATTTGTTCTTGAGAACTTTTGAAGTGATATCAGTTGTAAACTTAAAACTGGTTTGTAATTCCATTAAAAATTCAGATCTTGTGGTATTTTAGATCTACGTATTACAAAAAAAATATTTCATAAAACATATTTTTACACAATGTTGCTATGTTTATAATATCAATACTATGAAAAAATATCATGTAAATATGAGTACTATTCTGTATATTATAACTTAATGTCTGTTTGTTTGTTTTGTTCTATGTGAATTTCTGAAACTCAGAAAAAGTTGTATCAGTTATGTTTACTCTGCGGAAAGTGTTAATTTTCTGTTAAATTTTTATGGCTACCATGACATTTTTTGAGAACTGCTCTAAAAGGGTAGTAATCAAATCATAATTTTATTATCATAATATTTAAGATTTTAACATACTGTACATCATATCCTAGTCTATACAATTTATTTTCCATTAAATATATAACTCTTTAACTATCTTTTAACTGTAACAGTCGAATTTCAAGTTCTGAGTATTTGAGACTATACTTCTAGTATTCTATGGGCTGAGTGTCTCCAAACTTTGTATTTCCAGCTCATTTTCAATTTTGCGCTTGTTCTTGGGACTATTTAATATTTCATAGTCTTGGGACTATTTCAGTCAAATGGCTCTATATTGTTGGGATGGTGATTTGTGTATTAACAGTTTTGCTTGTAATTTACTTTTTCTTCAAGCTAACCATGACAACCACTTCGATTGTTCAATTACCATAGTAACCTAACATCATTGATTATAACACCATATATTAAAATATCACAATGATTGTGTTGGAAGCCTAAATAGAGTGCTACAAGCAAGGAATTTTTGAAAAAACAAGAATTTGAAAATGTAACTCAAGAAATGTGGCACTATAACAACATTTGGGGAGGGGGGGCATAAGCATACCAGAGTGACAGTTAAAAATATAGGGGAGGGGGGGGGTGAGGAGAGGGTCAGGTCCCTGAAATGTTTGTACCTTATCCCTAACTTCAATAGACCCCCCCCCTTCATATAATACATTTGGCTTAAACAAAGACCAGAAATGGCAAAATCATTTAAAACCAGTAAACATTTTAGCAAATTCTATTATTTTTGTATAGCAATGCTAATTTATTTGTATATATTGTATTTATTATCTTATTTGGGTAACCATGTTTAGTATTTAGTGACTTTTAGTAACAAGTCCTTATATTAAACAGAAATATCTTTAATCTTGTCATTTCGTAATAAAAGCTTACATCATTATAAGAGACTGGGTACTAAATAGAAATATTATTTTTCAGTCTTATTTTGGTGTCTGTTTGTCTCGTTGTACATAGTATTTATACAATTAATAATAATGAAATCAATAAAAAGTCACTTTTTCTAAAGCAGAAATAAAGATAATCACAAATGATTTTAAAAATGTTGATGTCCATGTACTTTAATATAGTTATAAAGTAATTAGGAAAGCTGTTTTAATTACTTCTTGTATAGTACAGAAATTATGAGATTTTTCATTTTCGTTTAATAATGTTTAATGTTTTCTAATCTCAAACATTGGTGCTAGATTTAATATTAGAATTCTAAATCATATTCATATTTAGTCTATTGCACAGTTTCAGGGAATGGGCCAGGTTGGCCAGAATCTCTTCTGATTCTGTGTACTAGACTAAGTTTTATTCACTGGTGGGTCTGGGGTTTTTCATTTTGGACTTAAAAATGGGCCTTATTTAGGCATCATTTACAAGATGGGCCCTTAGTTTTGAAGCAAAAATGGTCTTGATTTTTAATGAAAAAGTGGGCCGAAATCTTCAAAACAGGGCTCATTCGTAAATTTTCAAGTCAACCTCTATTACTTTATAGGACCTAATACTTAAAGATAATACATTAAAACCTTAGGTGAACACAGATTATCAACATGAGAATTATGGAATAATCCAGAATTGCTCTTGGTGTTCAACATAAACAGGTGTTACTGTAACGTAATGTTTGAATATAATGAACATGTAGTAGATTTTAAACGACCAGTGTGTTGTACATATTTCAGACTTTTATTAACACAATATGTAATAGTATTTTCCTGTTCAACATTAAAGATGTACATTTATAAAATATATTATGTATTTACATACTTTTTCTCAAAATGTACGGAAATAAAATATTAAAGAGATTTGTTATCTTGTGTTCTTTTTTACAATTTTTTGTATGCAAGCCCCCATGCACATGTTGAAGGTCCAAGTCTACCTTTAAGTGAAATGTCTGTAATTTTAATCCTCAATAATTAAAATATATTAAATTAAGTTAAAACATATTGTGTTAAGGATCAGAATTACAATATTGGCTTATTTCTCAGTATTTGTGAGCACTGAACAGTAAAAATAGCCTCTTTACAAACCAATCAAATATTTTGAATTGACCCCTGCCAAAGCCCCCAATAATAAATTATAGTCCATTTGTTGCATTACACAGAATAAAACCTGGAATTAATAAACTTAGTATGATAACCGTCTAAACTACCGGTGAGCAAAATATTTTTGTAACCTTGAATCTCATCTCTTTGAGGCGTGGCACTCTCGTCAAATCAAAAGTAGATTCAAGATAGCGCCTCTATCGATCTCCATCTGATAAAACAAAGAAATTGACTTCTAAAGAGTCCCTCTATTACTTTAATACCCAAAATATCACACATACGATAAAACAGTTTATCATTACTATAAGATTATTTTTTTAAATATTGCCCTTTTCTTGAATATAGCTTTTAAGAAGTTTTGATTTTTATGGCTAACATGAACTTTGACTTCTCGCCTAATTAATCAACACTTATGTTGATATTTTTCAAAGTATGAATATACCTGTAATGTCTTTATGACCTGCTCTTTGTTGCGCATTGAATGATATTTCTTACTTCAAATTAAATATGTTTTACTACATATATAAATGATTTGTCAAAACCTTGTATCCTCCGAAGCACTAGTTGAGAATGCATTGCTAGATCATACTTTTTCCAAAACCTGCTGCTGTAGAATCTTTCAAATAGCAGCCATATTGAAGAGAAGATATTATTAGGATCGTCCTAAATTCACAAAGGAAATGATAGATATAATGATGCCACTCATGAAATCATACTTATGATATTTTTCCTTCCAAATTATCACCATTATTGTGTTACAAATTTTAACAGGGTTCCTCGATTTTCTAAAATAATCGTAAAAGGCCCATGTGCCAAACGGGACCTCTCTACCATGTACCAGTAAGTTTATGGCACCAGTTTATGTACCAGTAAGTTTGTGGTAGTGGCAATTTCACCATCTATATGTACCATGTTTAGAAAGTCATAAATGATTTGGCATTTTATAATACTGTACTATTGCCATCTATAGCCACAGTGTGTAGTTATATTTGCTCGATTCCATATTTTTGTCCTCAATACACACTTGGGAAATCCCATACAACTTCTTGACTTTTCAACGAAATATATCTAAATGTTAAAAAGAGGCTATGCAACCACCTCAAACGGGTCACATAGCAGCTTACAGTGACAAATAAAAAAATTCTCTAATCTTTCAAAGGACGATTCTCGGTTTGGAGAACGAAGTTCATCAATCTAAATGAGCATTATCCCTGCTTCGGACAAATTTGATTTTTTTACATAATAAAGATTTGAATGTCTTCTTTTGAATAGTCATAATTTAATTTGGGTAATATTTCTAGATTTTTCGCAAACAAATATTTGCTCAGTACACTGATGGACTTCTTTCCCCGAATCGAGACTTGTATTTATATTGAATCGGTCTATTTGAGCATTATCCCTGCTTCAGACCAATTTGTTATCTTTACATCTTGTAGATTTAAATGTCCTCTTTTGAATATTCATAGTTTAATTTGGGTAATATTTCTATATTTTTCATGAAAAAAATTATTAGCCCAGGAGACTGTTCTCCAAACCGAGAATCGTCCTTTCTATCCAAAATTTATCATTTCCAACACCAGATGCCGAAAATAATGGTCATTCATACTGCCACTTTGCCATCAATATGCCATCTATAATTTAATAAAAACACCTGCATGGGTATTTTTTCTTGGCTTAGTATTTGCACAAAAAAAGTTTTGTATTGTGTTCAATTGACTCCTTGAGTGACGTATTTCATGTGTTTACATCTAGTGTGTAGATAATTTTCAAAATAAATTTCCCCCTCTATCAAGTCTTTCAAATTTTACAGAATTGGAATTCTTTGATGATCGGATAAGTGGAAAATGTTTGAAATAATCCATAACCAATCAGACTATTTTGGAAAAATGGAACATGTACAAAAAGAAAAATGCAACACACAAGTAAAATATTTAAAAAAAATATATATAATGGGCAAGTAATATTTCAGAATTGCGTCAAATTGTTTCTTTTTTGTCTTTTGTGAACTCTTGAAATCACTCACTGGGCCATCAACATAATTCAAACATGACACAATCTAAATGTACATGAATAAATAGTAATTTATTATTGTGTGATATACAAAACATGAAAACAAAATAAACAATATTCTTAAAATACAACTTATTGTTCATGGAAAAATTAACAATGAGTATAGAACAACAGAACTTTACTTCTAAACTTCTTTAATTAAAGGAGCACTGTCTTTGTTTCATTCAAAATCACAATCCATGAGATACCTTGGCTGAAACTAATAAAATAAACAGAATGAGATGTGAGGGAACATTTTTAGTGTCAAAAATATTCTCAAAACTTTATTACAGGTTCTCAAAATCAGATCTGTAGAAATTGTTCAAACCAAAATCAATAGCACTACTTACTATTACAGACAGTACCCCTTTAATTTCAAATGTACAAACTAGGTGTTCTAATGAAAGGATTCTTTAACATAATTACTTATAATTTCTGGATTTGTTCCTAATTCAAATGTGAAACTTTGGCAAAAATCAGAAGAATTTATCTATGTTTGAAAATAACAATTTTTTATAAATATTAATGATAATTGTAAAATTATGAATGGATTCATGTATTTATTCTATCTACAGTTAAATAATCATTGTATACTAAACATAACATATAAACAATGGTCTACATTACAATAATATTACAGAATACAATTACATATAATAGAGTTGTATATTATGTATAAATACCCATCTTATCATACACTCATAACTCTCGATTTTTACATATATATTTTTTATATTTTTAATTTTAAATACAGCGACACATGACTTTGTGTTTCAATTAAATTAAATTCAATTTCAATTTAAATAAAGCCAAGAGTGCACTAGCTCTTGGGTTATTTGATTCTTTAAAAATTGAGAAAATATACCCCCCTGAACTACAAAGGTACACTCCTTATGAAAAAATACCCAAGAGCAGATAGCCTTATAAATAATGAGCTATTTTGGTCTATTGGATAATTAACCAGTTGCCATGTTATGCAGGTCCATACAATGCCCAGTGCATCAATTACATTACATTTTAGTCAAAAAGTAGAATTGAGAAATCTTTTCAAAATACATTTTATCAAGACAGGTAAAGTCAATAGAACCTATGCACCAAAAAATTCAATGGACAATCTCCGAAGGACCACTACGGGTCATATCAAGAGACACAAGAAAAATATTCACTGATTTTCAGTATTTAGCCCTGTGGTCAAAGAATATCAAAACATGAATAACATGTAGGACAATACATGCAGTTAAAAATAAAATGCCACTCAAATGAGTTAAAATAAATATTTGAGTAACAAGATTTGTTTGTGCTCTCAGATCCTGATGTTGTGTTACAATTGTATTCTGCACAATTAGACACACTACGCAGATCTAGCCAGTTAATCAGAGTACTCTCATTAAATATCCAAGTAAATTGAAACTTGTGAAGTGGAACACCTCTACAAGTGGAACACCTCTGTTAAAGGAACACTCTTCGGAGTCAAGAGACCAAATGGCCCAATCTATAAGTGGTACACCTCCCAAGTGGAATACTTTTTAGAGGCACCACAGGTGTTCCACTTAGACAGATTTTACTATATACAAGTCTTGTATAATGAGAAAAGTATATTGCCAATATATAAGTCAATATGATCCACTTATTTCGAACAAAATCATTTCATATGTTACACCGATTCAATGTTCCATGTCCATTTTACATCTTTTTCAAATTCTATGTGTAACATCATTCTCATATTCTATGTAACAATATGTTACATCTAATACATGTTTTAATGCTTTAAAGTGACTCAAGCATAATGTATGACTTTTCACATTAATTCAGAATCTGTTACACTATTACAGTTTGACAAAGTGACATTTTAGAGTAAAATAATCTTGATGTGTTTTTAGGGGTAAAATGCAATAGATGCATAGAGTGCAATATCAGGGGTTTTATTGAATATTCCTCAGTAATCTATTCATAGTCTGAGGCATTCGAGAAACTTCTACATTAATGAGATATAGAACTCGGCGAATCTGGTAAAATTAAATGAATGTTATAAGGCAAATTGTTGGAATAGACTCTACATAGTGTGCTAATTGTGGTATAGATGTCGCTAATTGCTAGATGGCAATTCCTGTTTTATTTCATCGGCAGAGCTGATCGTTGGCGGCGGTGGTGCTTGACTCGTGGGATTTGATGTGGGAGGGGGCGGCTTCTTATCCTGATTCCAGGGACTGTGGGCAAGGGAGGGGGAATTATTATGGAACGTCGTACCAGCGCTGGGTGATTGTTCAGTCCCCCCACCCTCCTGGTTCGTTTCAAACTGTTGATTTTCTAGTCGTGAGATTAATCGTTCATCCTCGTCTCCAAATTCGCCACCCATGAGAGTGGGCTCTCCTACAACCATTACTTCCTGAAAGCGAAAAACAGGAATCACGTGATATATAATGTTAATGTGATATTTACATGTTTTGTGAAATACAATACTGCTATTGGTCAAGTTTGTTGAAGCATAAAGAGAACAAAAATAGTAATATCGCAAGCATGCACACCCAGCAGCACAAGACGACAACAATATGTTATTACACATATCGTGAAATGCACTAAACAGATCCAAATTTCATCCATTAAAGACCACCTTGAAAGAGGCTTTACTACCTTATATAGCTCTAAAATATCATTAAGATTTGCATAATTTACCATCAATGACTAAAATTCTCTATGACACATTTGAATAAAATTCTGTGAGCAATTTTCTACCAGAATAGCTTTGATTATTACTACTAATGCCATCTATTTTCCTATTTACATATCAAATCCTCTAAAACCACAACCTACCCCTGGAACTGAGCTGAACTGAGGTCCTGGTGAGTTTTTCCTCTTTGATTGTGGCCCAGACCCTGAATTGTTTACACCGGCATTACTACTTGTCTTCCTCTTTCTTCGCTTACTAGGCTGTCTGTTAGTATCTAAAAATACAGGAATACAGTGCATTGAAACTTTAGTATGTATTATGAAATAAATTCAATCTTAATAAATTAACATGAAAAATGTCACCACCTTCCATTTGTTACAGACACTGAAAGCTGAACTCCAAATGCCAATTGCCAGACTCTGTCACAAAAAAGTTGGGGGATATAACATTATGTGTTACATCTTCTGGTGGTGACATAATAAAACCCAGTCTAAAAGTACCGAAAGAAATTCCTCATCTGAAGTGTTTCTCTCTATTGATTTACATAAACCGATAATGTAAATGAGTCTGTTACTTATGTTGTATGCAGTTTATCTCATCCAAAGGGTTCCAAAGATATAGAGGAATTATACTGCCAGACAATCAAAGAAGACATTTTTTAATTTCATCAATTGTTTAAAAACATGTTTGTGCCCATGCATTTTAATTAACTGTCATTCAATAGCAGTTTATGCATACAATTTAAGTTAAAATATGCTTACATCGGTGGGTGCATATTTGAAATACATATTGGTGGGTACATATTTGAAATACATATTGGTGGGTACATATTTGAAATACATATTGGTGGGTCTTTATTTGAAATACATATTGGTGGGTACATATTTGAAATACATATTGGTGGGTACATATTTGAAATACATATCGGTGGGTACATATTTGAAATACATATTGATGGGTCTTTATTTGAAATACATATTGGTGGGTACATATTTGAAATACATATTGGTGGGTACATATTTGAAATACATATCGGTGGGTACATATTTGAAATACATATTGGTGGGTCTTTATTTGAAATGCATATTGGTGGGTACATATTTGAAATACATATTGGTGGATACATATTTGAAATGAATGTTGAATGTTACTTTGTATTGCTATCTTTTTACCTAAATAGATGCAGTCAAACACATATGTTATAACAATCTATTCAGTGTCTAAGAGGAACATGAGTTGTTGAATATATTTGCAGAATTGGTTAGTAAGCGCAAGTCGAGTACACTATCATTAAACATTACAAGTCAAATAAACCATCAGTAAACATTAGAAGTCCAGTACACCATCAGTAAACATTACAAGTCGAGTACACCATCAGTAAACATTACAGGTCAAGTACACCATCAGTAAACATTACAAGTCAAGTACACTATTAGTAAACATTACAAGTCAAGTACAGTATCAATAAACAATACAAGTCCGGTACGCCATCAGTAAACATTACAAGTCAAGTACACTATCAGTAAACATTACAAGTCAAGTACAGTATCAATAAACAATACAAGTCCGGTACGCCATCAGTAAACATTACAAGTCAAATAAACCATCAGTAAACATTAGAAGTCCAGTACACCATCAGTAAACATTACAAGTCAAATAAACCATCAGTAAACATTAGAAGTCCAGTACACCATCAGTAAACATTACAAGTCGAGTACACCATCAGTAAACATTACAAGTCGAGTACACCATAAGTAAACATTACAAGTCAAATAAACCATCAGTAAACATTAGAAGTCCAGTACACCATCAGTAAACATTACAAGTCAAGTACACCATCAGTAAACATTACAAGTCAAGTACACCATAAGTAAACATTACAAGTCAAGTTCACCATCAGTAAACATTACAAGTCAAGTACACAAACAGCAAACATTACAAGTCCAGTACACAATCTGTAAACACTACAATAGAAATGCAATGATAGTTCACATCTCTAGTCTATTTCAATTCTAAGATAGCATCCATATTTATGCTTTCTTCACAGAGTCTTGTCATGGGGTGTTACCACTTAGAGACAATGTATAACCACTCTGAAGACATTGAGGTGTTATCCCTCATTGAAGACATTGAGATGTTACCACTTATTGAAGACATTGAGGTGTTATCCCTCATTGAAGACATTGAGATGTTACCACTTATTGAAGACATTGAGGTGTTATCCCTCATTGAAGACATTGAGATGTTACCACTTATTGAAGACATTGAGGTGTTATCCCTTATTGAAGACAATGAGAAGTTACCAATTGTGAAGGCACTGTGATGTTACCTATATTATGCAGATATTGAGGTGTTACCCCTTTGTGAAGACATTGAGGTGTTACCCCTTTGTGAAGACATTGAGGTGTTACCCCTTGGTGAAGACATTGAGCTGTTAACGGTTTGTGAAAACATTGAGGTGTTACTGGTATTTGAAGACATTGAGGTGTTACTAGTATTTGAAGACAGTGAGGTGCTACCAGTTTGTGAAAACATTGAGGTGTAACCGGTATTTGAAGACATTGAGGTGTTACCGGTATTTGAAGACTTTTTTATTTTTTTTATTTGAAGACATTGAGGTGTTACCAGTATGTGGACACACATGTTTTGAGAAGAAATGTTACTGTTTTCTGATAGATTTTGAGGTAAAACCATTTTGTGAAGAGACTCTCTGAAGAAACATTGAGATGCTACCACTTTGGTAGATGACATTAATGTGTTACCACTTTGTGAAAAACACTGAATGAAGATTACTATTTGAACATTAATTTGAATTCAAAATGATGTGATGCAAATAATCATGCAAATGTTAACACTAGTTAGTGATTTCTGGGGAGTTTGGCGGGTGAAGACAGGCAAGGCATGCTCACTTGTACCTGGTGGCGCTACCATTCGCTGCCACTTCTGGAACAACGTTGTCTTGAGGCAATCACGGGGACTTAATCCATACGCCTTGTGCCGTGACATCAACTCTTGCATCGGCTCCAATATTACACATAACTGGAATAAAATAGGAAATTCTGGTAAATATATCAATAGTTATTTCCAAACCAGGGTTCGGGACTAAGTTAAAAACAGCTTGTCAAAGTTTAACATACTGTACTGGCGTTCAGTCCCTTGCCCAACAGGAAACCAGTTTTTCCAAATTCATTGCCAAAAGTGAAACGTGATTACCATTGGCAGTCAATCAGCTTTGAGTTCCAAACCCTGTTTTAAAGGTATGCTTGTGTGCATACGGGATTCACAGAATGCTCTGATACACAGCAGAATCATATTCAATAAATTTGTTTTAAATGTCAAGTTGCAGATCAATTTCAAGCCTTCACTTTGCTAGGGCATCCTGACATTCTCCATGTTCACATAATTAGGTAATTCTTAACTTAAGTATTGATGAAAAACAAGACTGAAAACTATGACCATGAAGAATAATTTTCTGTACAGACTGGCTAAATGTTCTATTTGAAATGGGATATGGATGGGATAATTTTTGTATTACACTGATTCCAAATGTTATTTTGATTAACTGATCTCAAATCCTTAACATAAGTGCTGAAAAGAGGAAATTTACAATTTTTGCATGGAATACTCACCCTGAGAAAATTTAATGTATAGTTTGTGAGTCCTTGCCGTGTGATATTCTTAGATAGCTGCTCTACCATGGCGGGATCCTGTTGCATGGCAATTACGCTGCGTGGGATCAGTTCACGATGCTGCCGGGTGGCAAAGTGCCAAGATCGAATCCTCATGAGATCATCAAATGTAAATTCAAGAATCAGACGTCCTTCTGTCACAACCTAAAAAAAAAATTTTAGATTCAGAGAAATACATAAACAGAGAACAACTTGCAAGTAACCACAATCTATACAACTTATTTGATATTCCAATAGTTGGTTGAAAAATTTTCAATATTATTTCAACAATCCATTTCAAGGAACATACTCAAAAGCAGTTTCAAAGACTCAATTATAAAGGAACTCATTTGAATTCTCCTGCATGAAACAATAGAAAGACAATACGATGGAAAACAACAATCTCATATTTCTTGTTCACAATGGTGAAATATCAATATAAAGTATTCTATTAGAAATCCTAGATTAGTCGATACCAAAATGGAAAGAAAAAAAAATTATACAGAATCATCGGTTGGTGATTCCTATTTACAATTCTCAATAACATTGTACATGTACACATTGAGAAAAATTCAACGGATTGAATTTATTACAATATGCTGGTAATTTTCATACGACTTAATGATTAACATATAACATCCGTAAACAAGGTAATAAAATGGCATAATGTCACTAGTACCATCTACGATTACAAAAGTATAATAACAATTGTTACAAATGGCTGTTACGAATGTTGCAACTGTTACAAATACTGGATGCCGTATACTGGTGACAAAAACTCTGGGTATGACAACATGTCACTGCATCATGGTGGTGACATAATGATGTGGTGACATAATAATTGCATTTAGTGGGATATTCAAAGTGCAAAGCTCTATACTTATATCAACAAAGACTTTTTCATAAACATTGTCATTTTATGTCAATCAACCGAATGTCATCTTTAACCTCTGTAAATCTAATCAACATTTCAGGTTTAGATCAGGGATATATCTAAGTTTTATAATTACCGACAATTTTTAGAAATCATTAAAATATTTACCATAAAATCTCCAAGATAAGTCTGGATGCCGGTTAATTACAATAGAAAGATCTTAAATAAACACATCTTAGGAACAAACAAGGTATATTGATATATGCCAATCGATGTAATTAATTACAAGGTCGTTTTGTAAAAGTACATATAAATTGATTTTTAAGAGGAAGTCATTTCTCATTAGAAAAATCAATGCATGTTTCATTAAATTTTTGAGAGGATATTAGGAAGGAAGAAGCCCAGGCCGTGATATAATTCAGGCCCATAGCAAGGATTTGCCAAGGGGGGTTTAATTTTTGAAAAATTTCAGGGGGTTCAATTTTTACAAATTTGGCCCAAAAATTGCCAAAATCACGTGAAAAGTGCTCAGAATGGTGAAAAACCGCATGATTTTGAAACGAGTTTTGTTCAAACCCCCCCAAACCTTCCCTGGCTTTGGGCCTGTAATTTTATTACTATGTGTGTTCTTTACTGCGATCTGGACTTACCTTTGTGAACATGGGCTTGCCATGATGGGTTACCATTAGGGCCATATCACAATCTAGCGTGATCGTCGTATTGTGGAATGACTCTTTGGGGTGTTTTAGTATGAGGTATAAGTCCGTTACACCCCCCTCAAATATACTGCGGAAATATCTTGGGATCAATGTCCGACCAATAGCTAAAATAAATAACATGAATATTGTTTTAACGATAGGATGCAATCTTATGATTTATATCTAAAAAACATATTGATTATATAGCTTGGACTACAGACACCAATGATGTACTATTATGATAAAAATCACAGATTTTCCAACTCAACATATACAGAGTAGTTAAATAAAAAAAATCTATAGTAATATGTAAATCCTTAATATACATGAGCCAAACAATGTACGATTCTTAAACAATTAAGAGGTCGTCTAGTTATACTGTTGACCTCCTTTGTAAACCAACTTTTGTATGAAAAGGCATTGCACAAATTGCTTCATTACCATTAAGAAAACACACTGTACTATGATGGTTAGGATAAGGTAATTATACAAACTGACATATACTCCCACACCAAATCAAGCTTCATAAAATACATTTACAACCTGTTAAGCAATTCGAGCATATCTATCTGGACTGGCAGCATTACTTGTACAGTACATGTGTTTTATTAGAAATGAGCTGATAAATTGCCAAGTTTTTAGAATATAAGAAAGATAAACTTATCTGTTCATCTGCAAAAGTGAGATAAATCAGCAACTTACGCTAACTGTTCCTCAAATCAAAGGATGAGGAAACATTTTGGAAACATCTCTAGCCATCTCTCCCCTCTTCGGACATTCATTTCTTTTAAATTACAGAAACCATGACATAGGGGACAAGGCAAAGGCTAGAGACAAAGCTATCTCTTTAACACAAGTGATCAGGAACTTACTATATCTTTTTGGTCCATCCTCCAAACAGAAGGACAATGTGAGGGTCGCATCATCTTCAAAGAACTCAGTGGCAAAAGCATCCCACCAAAGATTGTCACTTTCCTGGAATCAGCAAAAGAGAATGTTATGTAATATAAAAAATTCCATTTTGATTAACTAATATTAAGTTAATTAATTAATTAATTTATAATATTCTTTTGCACAAAGTTGTTTAAACTCCTCAAATAGGTAAAAAATTATAATTTTATCAATATTGATCTATAGTCAAAATATCCCAAATTCTGAATTGGATATTTCTTTGGTTCTCTTCTGTCAAGTCAAGGTAAAGTGTGCTACCAAATGGATTTTACTCATACAATTCCGATTAACAGTTAATCTTCGGTAGTTGGTTTCGATATGCGACGAAAGTTGGATCCGTGTGATGATATACCCGGATAGGTGGCACTCAAGTAAACATTTCAACTAAACTAGGCATGTCCAATCCATTCCATAATGATCATATCAACAATTACATATCAATTTTGTGTTACATGACATTATATTACAATCAATGAGAAATAAATAAACAATTTGAAAATAAAATAGTAGGTGAAAATAGCATGTGAGCTATATACTCCATATAATGATAAAACCACCCAGACTCCATCCAGAAATACTCTTTGACTATAACTGATCATTTTACGATCTGGCATTCAACTATTCAGATAGCATGTAGAGCCATCATAATATTATGTCTAACCTATATATCTGAACAACTCTCTAATCTGAACTTTTCCCAATGCGACCACTTTTTCTCTGTCCCAAATCTGTTACCTCCCATTGATTCATATATTAAGAAACCTTTAAATGTGAATACCTGCTAATTTGAACACTTTTCGCCAGTCATAGTAGATTTCAGAATAGACAGGTTTTACTGTATTTCCATATAGACTAGAGAAAACTCTCTGGAGGGTGCAAAGCTCTAACTAGGCCAACAAGTTCAAAGGTTTATCGCTCATATAAAGAGAATAAAATAAAGTTGATCTTGAAAAGGATATTAAAGAATATAATAACTACATAGTATGAAACAGCTCAGACATAAATTCAATCAATTAATCGTGTTTTATTGATTTTATTGTGTTAATATACTTCAAGTCTCTATTTTATAAAATCAATATCAGATTATTCTCTGCTTGTTTTCGCACAGAACAAGCAAAAACAAATATATGAAGCGGTTATATCCTGTTGAGTCAACAAAATATCAGTTCAGTGAAAAACCTGGACTAAATCTATTGTATCTGAGTTGATACACCCCCCAACATAAGTAGCAACTAGTAGTTTTTATTTGATAGCGCATAAAAGCCTATCATTGTTGGAACCTTTATTTTGTACTTTAATTACAAGAGTTCAGATTTATGAAAAAATTGATGAATTATTTCCCCAAATCTAAAAAGGTTTTTGATATGTAATCCAAAGGGGGGGGGGGGCTTCCAGTTGCCAAACTTATGGAGGGGAGTGTATAACCAATTGTTGAGGTAATATAGGAGACTGCATACATGTATTATGTTTTATATGTTGGTTCTTTTCGAAATTTATTTCAGAATTCTTACATAGCATCTTGTAATAAGCTAGGTAATACACTACAAGTTATAGGCAGCATATACACTAAAGGGTTAATCACTTCTGGGTAGGAATTTAGGGCCATAAGGGTTAAGAGATAACACTCCATACCCAGGTGAAAAATTTCAATCAAGTCCTGTTTTAAAATGTAAAATCAAGTACCACAGAAAAAATTCAACAAAGAATTAATTAAATATACTTAAAGTCTGTATTCTACATTCTATAAAAATGTTAAAAATCTTGAATTCATTCAAATAAGGGAGAAACGTCAAGGAATATACATGATCAAGTCGAAATTAAGCCTAGTAGAGTCTTCAAGTGGATTTATTCCATGAAGACCCCTTCAAATAAGCACAAAATTAGAAATCATCTCGAATCATTGATGTTTATCTCTAACTAGTGCTTCAGAATAGTTAATGCTTTCAAATATTATTGATCTCATGATATGTATTTATTGATCAGCTGACATACATGCTGACATTGTATATTTATGTCAGTATGAACATACATTTTGACACAAATGACATTCATTCGGATTCTGCAGCTAAGAGCAGGTTTATTGTATCTGAACGCAAAAAATGACATTCTTGCAAATGTTTAGTAGATTCTTTCTTATTCTCTCATGACAAACATTTATGATACCAATAGACTAATATTAAGTTCTGTGATATGTATATACTGATACACTGAGATCTGTGATACCTTTGTATGCCAATTCATTTGGATCTGCAATACTTATATGCCAATATATTTTGATCTGTGATTGTTGATCTTATTTGTAATGCCAAATAACTTTATTCTTTAATATAATACCTAATATAATACCTATATGCAAATTAATTTAGATCTGTGATATATGTATGCCAATTAATTTAGTTATATAATACCTATATGCCAATTCATTTAAGGTCTATGATACATATATGCCAATTCATTTCGATCAGTGCTATATATATATGATATATGCCATTGCCAATTCATTAAAACCTGTGATAGTTATATGCCAATTCATTCAGACCTGTGCTACCTGTATACCAATTCATTTAGATCTATGGCACCTATATGCCAATTCATTTAATTCTGTGACACCTTCATGTCAATATAGGTCTATGACACCTATGTGCAAATTCATTAAGTTTTGTGATTATATGCCAATACATATATTTTTGTGATACTTATATGCCAGTTCATTTAATTCTGAAATGCTGAACTGCATATACAAAGACGAAGAGAAGATGACTTCCCTTGATGACAAAAAATGTAAAAAATGCAATATTTAATAAATTTCAGCCAAGTTCGTGTCTGGTGTCAAAATGATTATGATAGGACAACTGGTTATCGCAAAATTATTCAAATCTTTATAAAAAAGTATGATAACTTCTTTTGACAAACTCACTAAAAAAACAGTGGAATTCACAGAATTTATGATACAAGGGTTTATTAATCCCTTCTTATCGATTTCATTACATTATTCAATTTCCACTCAAAAAACAAAATGAAATTGAATTCTTAACCACTTTACAAATATGAATTAAGATTTAACCTTTAAAGGAATTATTGCCTAATTAATAAATTGTTCCATTTTTCCAAGTCTCCAAGTAATATAGGATTTTGTTTTCTATTACGAGGGTAATATGACTGAGGGATGCGCATATATAGACTATAGGGATATTGATTTGTCCCTAATTAGCCAATGTTGGTGCGCTAAAACAAAGCCTCGCTATGCCAGTATGTAATTACATGTACTACACTACATATCAGATTGACACGGGGAAAAAATCTAAATGATCATATATAAAATGAGAAATACAATGGAATAGTTAAATGAATTTAAGGAATTGAGTGTATCTGGCATTGGTATCACATTCTATATTATAAAGAAATGAAAGGAAATTAGACAATATGTTCATATTTAGTGAGAAATTGATAGAAAAGGTATGAATGAGAGTGATATTATAATTTCTGGTTTAGAATCGATAGACACCCAGCCAAGTATGAAATTTCACCATAATCATGGTTATTTCAGATATTTCTCATAAAAAAATAAATTGTTGGGCTTTTTAGCATTTTGATTTACTTTAAAGGTTTTTTGAGGGTTTAGTTTAAAAGTGTTGATTCTTTTTCGTGTCAGGGCCTTACTATTCTATTTAAAGTAAGGATAGGGTGACATTTTATGCCAGGGTTAATAAGCTCATTAGATTCCTATTATTTCTATTTTCTCCATAAAAACAGAATGAAAAACCAAACTGATATCGAAGATGCATAGAAAATACATACCTGCATTACGTTACCTTAAAACCTTTAATTTTCTAAAAAATCAGGAAATAGATTCATTTCGATATTGAGAGAGTGAAATATTGAAATTAGATGAATTTCAATGGTTTCTTATCTAAAAGCACTGTACAGAATATTGTTAATATCCCCATTCTGTCTAACAAGCACAAGCTTACTTGTACCTTTCAATATATCAAGCTAGGAATAATCATGTTTTTAGTTAGTCGGCATTTACAGAAATTCAAGGTGGTCCCGTCTTAATCAAATACATATCCTGAGGTGCATAGGTATCATTAGTGCTTTGAATTCTTTTTAAACATCAGCTTTTTGAATAAATAAAAAATAAACAAAAAGTAAAGATGTACATTTTTCAAAAAGATGGTTTGCCAGGAGAGGCTTTGGATTGGAAAGCGTGCTGACTTAATATATACTAAACTAGAAATGAGATTTTGATCAAGGAGGAACCAATCTTCAGTTCTGCCAGACTTGGGAAATTAAAGGTCTTTTTGGAAGGATTTGACAATATCTTCACATTTGTATGGGAATATTGTGACAATAGACTTGATGCCAGAAGAACTTATTAGATTTATCAACAAATATGAATGAAGTATAAAATGAAACTAATATGATATCTTTTGCCTAAATATGTTCATAAACTATCTTGTAAAGTGATCAGATCAGATTAACCTTGATATATGCCTACAGATACACAAGTTTACTACAAATGGTATTTACAGTAAAACCTGTATATATTGAACATTATTTTGCCAAGAAAAAAACGTTCAATGTTGGTAGGTGCTCACTACAGAGAGGGTAATTTATACAGAAGTCAGTAGAGTATATGCGGAGGAAGGGTGTCCACTAGAGACAAGTGTTCATTAGAGAGGTGTTCACTAGAGACAGGTGTTTACTAGAGAGAGAGAGAGAGATGTTCACTAATACAGGTTTTATTGTACATTGTATATATACAAGTAAATTAAATCTTGATACATATTGAACAGAGTTAATTTCTAGTGCTTGTCATGCTATGAAACCATTGATTTACAACTTCATAGAGTACAAATTTGATGAATGGATTAAGGTCAATGTGACAAACTAACAATAAAATATTATTCAAACATGAACTTTACCAAGACTATACGCAATACATGTACTCAATCATAGCTCTTGTTAAATACATGTACTCAATCATAGCTCTTGTTAAATACATGTACTCAATCATAGCTCTTGTGAAATAGCATGTAATATTGTGACACAAACCTTACAAAGTTGAACTATTAATAGAGATTGCACTATTAACCTACAAGGAAAGTAAAGCAACAGTATTTAAATAATCATTGGCTTGAACTTAGTTAACTCAAGTTTTTTATAATCAAGAATACACTTTACTGTATGTACATATATTTGCACAATGCCTGGTGCCTTGTAACAGAATCTACGAACAAGAACAAAATGTCACGATGTACCAAGTCTAATAAATGACTTAAAAATTCTCTCCAATTTTGAACTCCTATATGTTATAGCAACATCATATTCTATAATTTACTGCCAGAAAGATTCAGTGAAATTTTATACAGAATCTATTTCTGTCATAAAAAGTTCAGGAAAAACAGACCCCTTGAGAAATCTCAAAACAAGGTACTTCCTATCAGTTGTAAGTTTTAAAAAAAATCAAATAATACCAAAGCCCTAGTAATTCCTGGTAAAAAATTAATATAGATCAATTCAAATGCTTGTATGTATATTAGTACTTTTATGTTCTCTGTCAGAGGTGCTCACTTAATAGATGGATGGAAAGACAGGTGAACACAAGGATAACAAAGGTGTTCACTTGTATAATTATATAACTTGGATAATAGAAATGTATTCACATGGATAATATAACGGTGTTCACTTGGATAATAGAAAGGTGTTCACATGGATAATGAAGTATTCTCTTTGATAATAGAATAGTGTTCACTTAGAAAATAGAAAAGTATTCATTTGGATAATGTAAAGGTGTTCACTTGTATAAAGAGGTAGATTGGATGATAGATGTATTCACTTGGATAATAGAGATGTGTAAAAGTGTTCACTTGAAACACAGAAAGATGCCTTAGATAGATAAATGACAGGTGTTCACTTGGATGATAACTGACTTAGATTCACTTAGATGATGAAGAGATAAAGAGATAGAGAAGTGTTCACTTAGATAACAATGAAGTGTTCACTTGGATAACAGAGAGGTGTTCAATTAAGAGATATTAAGGTGTTCACTAATCCCTAAAGGACCTTATTATGCCATATTCTCATTTGGACAATTTAGATCAAAACATCCATATGAAGCCACCTTTCAAATGGTATATTGCAATCTATAGGACAAAAGGTGTCATTTATCTTTCATTAATGAGTGACTTTCAACTATAATTTCGACGGGCTCAGCAAGATTTTTGGGGAAATAAATGCTTATCACAAAAGATAATACTTAAATTGTCACAAAAATATAGGCTTTACGAAATAGTACCTCAATTAATTTTGATTAGTCAGAGAAAGGTGAACAGGTTTGACTATTGACTGCATTAGCATTGCTCTCTAATCAATTGACTGTTAAAACCATAAATGTAATCTCACTTTACAGAGTCTAGATACAGTAAAACCTGTCAAGTTGGAACATATTTGTTACCTCTAAAAAGTGTACCACTTGGGAGGTGTTCGACTGATAGAGGTTCATTTAACATAAAAGTGTTCCACTAACAAAGATGTTCCACTTCTAGAGGTGTTCCACTTTACAGGCTTCACTGAACAGTCAATCTCTGGAGAACTTTAACTGTATAATGCACCCCCTAATTCCTCTCTCTTACTTCTCCCTAGTTACCCCCACCCTGATTTCTCCCTAATGCCCCTCCAATACTTCTCCCCCATAATGATTTCTCCCTAATTTCCCACTCCCTTACTTCCCCCTAAGATCCCTACCATGATTTCTCCCTAATTTCCCCTTTCATACTTCCCCTGAATTATCCCCACCATGATTTCTCCCTAATTCCCACTCCCTAACTCACCCTATAACCCTAACCACTTCCCCTAATTTTCCCTTATTCCCCCTTAATTGTTCTTACCTCAGTTCGCTGCTGGAGTCTCTTGTTCAGTTCATAGATCCGATAGTCCGGCTGGCCCATATATGGAGTGTGGCGCCTGTAATATTGAGAAAAAGGAGATTGATAAAAAGGGTCCTGTGCCATATTATTTGGCATACTATTTGGGCCCATATTTGGAGGTCCAATGTTTGGTCCCATACTGTTCATATTTGGTCCTATATTGTTCATGTTAGGCCCATTGTTCATATGTGGAGGCCCTACATTGTTCATATGTGGTGGTCCTATATTATTCATATGTGGTGGTCCAATATTGTTCATATTAGGTGGTCCTATATTATTCATATTTGGTGGTCCTATACTGTTCATGCTTGAAGGTGGCGGACCACCTGAGTTCATATCGGGACCCATACGCCCTAACCCTATAGGACTGTTCATACCGGGCATAGGGCCACTAGGGCCTGAGGGCATACTCATGCTCATTGTTGGCATGCCCTGAGTGGACATGTTTATGCTCGTCATGTTTGTCATCTGCTGCATGCTCTGAATGCTTGCATTCATATTGATATCTTACTACTATTCAACTACTAAAATATTACTTATTTTACTGGATGTTCTCGCTACAATATTAGATTCTGTAGCTACTATAATACTGTATCAAACCTCATCAGTGTTTCATATACATCTGTTGGGTCTGGGTCCATAATGATAATTGTAACAACAGCACCATTTTATGAGATTTATGCTTAAGCATAGACGAGAGAAAAAAATATTTCCTTTCGGAGTCTTGGATAAAAAAATCTATCTCAGGGAATCAACTCTGTGGCATTTCTCCTAAACTTGGAATAATGCAGGGATGTAATCTCACTGTCGTACACTGTTAATCCCCACTTCAATCCGATACGAATATACACTCATATTGTGTCCACACAGGTGGCTATCAGTTAGCTGAATAAGATGCAGGGCCTTGCTGTCTATTTTCTAATAAGCGATGGAACAGTCAGAGAATATTCTAAGGTAAGATGTAAGTAGATTAGATGATCTACCAACAGGTGTTGACTTATTTGACTGAGTTCTTGTGGACTTATTTGACTGAGTTCTTGCTGGATTGACAGCAGTCAGTTATAAGAATGATGCTGAAGATTTTACACTGATCCAACGTCTTAATTACAGCTAGCATAATATAACATATATACTATACTCAAATACAGTTAAGGTGTTAATAGAGACATCTGCTGAAATTAGTTGATCAGACCAAATACTCCCACATTCAGGTTCTAATATTGTATCCTCAGTTTATTCAGAACTGTCTATTTTGTACAGCTGATATTTAATCTAATGAATTCAACAAATGTTCCTAACTGCATCCTTGATTGTGCTCTGTAAATATCCAGATATGACCCGTCACTGATCACTTATAATAAAAGATCCTGTTCCTTTTGGGTCTTAATTAAAGTACATACTATTTTAGTACATGGTCAGATCCTAAAGGTTTTTGGTACTGGATGATCCTAGCTTATCCTAATAGGCTAAACCCATTGAGTTATATTACATAATAATACAGATCAGGCAGCACAACCAAACAAAATCTTGTTTCTGAATGATCCGTCTGCTAAATAGGTAGACGAATTATTTGTACACCTTGCGAGATGTAGCTCTACCTTAAAGGTTTAGTTGAAGTTTATCTCAAACATATGTCTATGTTTGGAGCATTCTAACTCTGCAGCCCAACAAAGCCAGGTTCTTTACTATTTATATCTCTATACCTCTTTACTATAGCCTCAATCCCTTCGAATTATCCAATATATATGTATAAGACCCCTTGTAAACACAGCAAATATGTGTTGAGTAGATACTCGTGCAAACAAAGCCTGAAGCCAAGTTTGTTTATATATACAGAATGTTTGATGTTAGTTTAACTCTTTGCTTTCAAGAAAGATTAGCCCCACCCCTTAAATCAGGCCCCATCGTTCAAAACACTTGCTGAATAAAAGAAGTAGTTAGGTGTAATTAGGTCTGTTAAAACAATATGCAGGCTGCATAAATAGGCGAGCAAGCAATATATCACAAATATTCTCATTGATTTTTCAAAATTCAGCAATGAAGTCCTGAATGGATCAATAGATGTGTGGAGGACTCACAACTGAGCCTATAAACAAAATGACACGATGTGATGTTTAAAAATGTGAAATATAACAAAAAAGAAATGGTAAATGTGGCAATAACGTAAACAGGCTTGTAGTTAACACTCTAAATGGCACAAATATGAGAACAAATAAAGTTGTTTATTCAAATTTTGAAGAGATATCTGAGAAAAAATAAATAACCAAGGTAATGCATTGAGCAGACGTGATTCAATATTTGTGTAGGGCTCATACACTGCTTGCTTGGAGAGGAGTCAATAATTAACTATATGAGACCCCATCTCTTGACAAATCAAGCCATATACTATATCAGATATACTAGATTCAATATTAGATTTGGCATTCCTTCACTTATTTTTGTTGCTAATTTCAAACTTTCATATTTTTTTATTCTTAAATAGAAGACTGTTTATTGTTGAATGTATGTATATTCTAGCAGTCCAGATATATACAGTAAATATGTACATTGTATATTGGACATTTTTTGCTGAAAATGTTCAGTGTGATAGGTGTTCACTACAGAAAGGGTTATTTATACAGAAGTCACTAGAGTATCTGAGACAGGTGTTCATTAGAGACAGGTGTTCATTAGAGAGAGGTGTTCACTAAGACATGTTTTACTGTACACACAATAAGTCCTAAACTGGAATTGATTTTTATGTCCTAACTATCACAGGCTGGTATCGAAATATTTGTCCGCTGTGACGGAGCATGCTATTTTTCATAAAAACATTAAGAATACTTCACGATTTATTTTTTAACTCATATGTTTCGTTATACCATACAAAATTACTTACTCCATGCAATGGATATATCATTTGCGGGTAACTTTCACTTCTGTTTGAAGTCCAATTACGCTGGGAAGAAAAGCTATTGAAAATGGCACCGGAGTATCATACTTCAAAATGTACCATTTCTTGTTTAACTTTCTAATGGCACGATAAAGTGACACGATAATATTTACACATGGTTTCAGCATAACTATGAAGGTATAAATGAGATGTTGATGTATTTGGTCTTTTTAATTCTTTTATAAAAAATAATGTTTAATTTTTTTGTCCGCTGTGACGGAGCAGTTGCAAATATGAACTGTGAAAATGCTCCGTCACAGCGGACAAAAAATATTAATATTATTTTTCATAAAATAATTAAAAAGACCCAATGCATTAATATCTCATTAATACATTCAGAGTTATGCTGAAAACATATGTTAATATTATCGTGTCACTATATCATGCCATTAAAAAGTTAAAAAATAAATGGTACATTTTAGAGTTTGATACCCTGGCGCCGTTTTCAATAGATTTTACTCCTAGCGTTATTGGACTTCAAACAGAAGTGAAGGTTACACGCAAATGATATATCCATTGCATGGAGTAAGTAATTATCTTTGATATAACGAAACATATGAGTTAAAAAATAAATCGTGAAGTATTCTTAATGTTTTTATGAAAAATAGTATGCTCCGTCACAGCGGACAAATATTTCGATACCAGCCTGTGACTATCAGCAGGACTCTAAAAATAGATTTATTGATAAACTTTGAATGTGCTGGTCCCAGGACAGATTTTTTCTATTGCATAATATTTTTGTTTTGATAAGCACGGTGACACAAATGTTACAATGGTTATAGTTTCTATAGGATACGCAATATGACATCACACAACTGGGATTCTATGAGTGAACCCCAGGGAGTGAACCTTTTTTGGCATTCCTCATTTTAAACACTGTTTTTCTCCATTGCTCATTTTAAATACTGTTTTCTCCTTTATAGTTATTTTTTAAAATCTTTAATGACTTGTTTTGGAATTTATATTTGTTTCAGTATTTTTAAAATAAGTAAATAATTGTTTCATTTTAGTACTTATATATAGCTAAATAATTAGCTTAATCTATTATATTTTCTTTAAAGGAAAAATAATGCAACCACGGGTCACAGTGTTAGATCATTTCCATTTCTACTTTGGTCAGTCATTTTAAGAATGCCATTCATTTATTTCAAGAAATGTCCATTCTGACAAATCTGTTTCATTCCGATTGATAGGTTTGAAGTCTAGCAGTTGATAAAATAGAATAGAGGTTGTTAAGTCCAAACTTTTGAGATGACCCCTTGGGGTCATTTTGCAACATTTACTAATCTCTGAAAATTTTAGGCCATTTAAGCAGAAAGTGTGAATATGGTCCTTAGAGCCCTACAAACAGGGCAGAAAGGTCTTATTTAAAGTCTTACTGAAATATTTTAAAGATCAAACACTTTTAGGCGTTTAACTCCCTAGGGGATATGTCCAAATGACCCCCCCCCCCTCTTCCCTCTCTCACATATCTACGATTGGCGATCAATTTCCAAAAATGCAGGAGAAAAAGAAAAGAAGATTCTTTAAACACAACACACTCATCATAATAGACAAAAAAATCAATGGTTAAGTTAACTTTCCTATACTAGCTGTATAATGTAGACATGGGCAATATACACACTGCATAATACAGTTACTGATGTCAACTAGAATACAACTCAAGTCCTGTACATTTCATTCATTTTCACGATAAAACCTGAATGAACCATATAAATATCTTGCATGATACTATCACTTAGAGTCTTAACTTCATTGCTGTCAGCTTTATTCTTCATTGGTTCATATTGTTTTCACTCTATTGAGATCTAAAACACCAAGGCCATGATATTGTATTTACAGGCGTATAAGCTTGGATTATTAATTTATGCAATAAATCACTTGATTTGCAGCTAAAACAAAAGAGAGATAACTAGAGACATCTCTTGGGTGTAGAAGAAAAGAAAAGCTTTAATTAAACATGCAGTGTCTGAAATAGACCATCACCAGTATTATGTAGTGATAATGTGATATGTATCCATGAGGTCCATCATTTTCATTTTAAATTCTCACCTTATTGAAAATAAACAACAAATAGGGGCATTTCTAGGTGACGTACCAATATA